GGCTCTGAATAACTTGATATCCACATGCACCAGAACCTCTCTCTCACTCCAAAATTAATTAAAATGGATCACTTAAAACTATACTCTTAGAAGAATATATGGATACAAATCTTCAGGACCTTGGGATGGTCAGTGGTTCCCAAGCAACCAAAGAAAAACAGAAATTGGATTTCACCAAAGAACATTACCAAGACAGTGAAAAGAGAGCCCACACAGTGGGAGAAAATACTTGCACATCGTGTATCTGATGAGAGTTTAGTATCAGGAACATAAAAAGAACTCTTAAAACTCAATGATGAAAGGACAATCTGATTAAGAAGTGAGCAAAGGAATTGAATAGACATTTCTCCAAAGAAGATATAAAAATGATGAAATATACATCAAACAATGTTCAATATCTTTAGTCATTAGGGAAATGCAAATTAAAGCCATAACAGTATGCCACCCCATACCTGCTAGAGTGGCTGTAATAAAAAAGGTGGATAATAAAGTCTTGGTGAGGATGTAGAGAAATTGGACCCTCATATACTGCTGGTGGGAATGTAACACTGCACAGCTGCTTTGGAAAACAGTTTAGCAATTTGACAAGTGGTTAAACAAAGTTGCTATGTGACTCAGCACTTCTACAATAAAAATGAAGTGATACATGCAATGACATAGATTATGAACCTTGAAACTATATGCTAAGTGAAAGAAGCCAGACACTGAAGACTATATATTGTTATTTCATTTATATGAATGTTCAGAATGGACAAATCCAGAGGCATAAAAGTAGATTGTGGTCGACAGGGCTGGAAGAAGGAGTTAATGGGGAGTGACTACTGATGGGTGTGGGTTTTCTTTTGGGGATGATGAAAAGGCAACCTTGCAAATATACTGAAAGCAAATGAATTGTACTCTTTCAAAGGATGAATTTTATGTGAATTGTATTTCAATTTAAAAAAAGATAAAATAGAAGTCATTTTGGATCCCACTGCCCAGGAACTACCCAGTTCATGTCAACTGGGCATTTTACAGAAGGCGACCTCAGTGCCTTTAGACACCTTCTCATTTATTCTTCACATTTGCTTTGTGACTCTCCTGTCAGAACTGGGACTCCTGACATCTTCTCCAGTGTTCTTTCCACTTATTCTTATTGGCTGTGCCTGTTTTTACAGAGAATTTTGGGTGAAGAGAAAGTATGCGAATTTGGAATATCATTAAGATACTATTTCACAAAGTTAAGAAGCCTTACTCAACACACAGTTGACCAAAATGTATTTGTGCTGTGCTTCAGTTAGCACTCAGCACTCAAGCTTAAAGGAAAGCAAAAATTTGAGAAATGGGTTAAATCTCTGAAGTTAGTCTTTCAGTATGAAGGAGTTTCCACCATTTCCACCCCCACCAGAGATTGGAAGAAAGAAACAAGTAAACCTAGAAACTTCTTTAAATGGTCATTCATCCTGGCCTGGTATAATGCTGGGGTAGAAAAATGTTGGATTTTGTTTTTATAAAATGGTAGTCATCAGAATGTACTGTAGTCCATTGTCTATGGAACTAGAGTTTATAAGTAGAAGGCATGAAGGAAACTTGCAAGCTTGGAGAACTTAGTTACAATGGTTAATTTTATTTTATGCTCTTGACACTTTAGAGCAACCAGTCATGGGTTCAGAGGGCTTATCCTCTGAGCTCCTTTTTTGATTGTTCCTCATGAGTGGGCATCTAAAATGTAGCAAATGTTGGGCTCCTTGCAAAAACAAAACTTGGTTAGTAATTTTTTTATTTTTAAGGAGAGTTACTCAGATTTTTTAGTAACTTTGACAGGAAAACACTCTTTTTTTTTCTTTTTTTTGTTATCATTAATCTACAATTACAAGAGCAACATTATGTTTACTAGACTCCCCCCATCACCAAGTCCCCCTAACAAACCCCATTACAGTCACTGTCCATCAGTGTAGTAAGATGCTGTAGAATCACTACGTGTCTTTTCTGTGTTGCATGGCCCTCCCTGTACCCCCCTCCTGCACATTATACATGCTAATCATAATGCCCCCTTTCTTTTTTTCCCCCCCTTATCCTTCCCTTCCCACCCATCCTCCCCAGTCCCTTTCCCTTTGGTAACTGCCAGTCCTTTCTTGGGTTCTGTAAGTCTGCTGCTGTTTTGTTCCTTCAGTTTTTGCTTTGTTCTTATATTCTACAGATGAATGAAATCATTTGATACTTGTCTTTTTCTGCCTGGTTTGTTTCACTGAGCATAATACCCTCTAGGTCCATCCATGTTGTTGCAAATGGTAGGATTTGTTTTCTTCTTATGTGTATATGTACCACCTCTTCTTTATCCATTCATCTACTGACGGACACTTACGTTGCTTCCATGTCTTGGCTATTGTAAATAGTGCTGCAATAAACATAGGGGTGCATATGTCTTTTTCAAACTGGGCTGCTGCAGTCTTAGGCTAAATTTCTAGGTGTGGAATTGCTAGGTCAAATGGTATTTCTATTTTGAGCTTTTTGAGGAACCTCCATACTGCTTTCCACAATGGTTGAACTAATTTGCATTCCCACCAGCAGTGTAGGAGGGGTCCCCTTTCTCCACAACCTTGCCAACATTTGTTGTTTGTCTTTTGGATGGTGGCGATCCTTACTGGTGTGAGGTGATATCTCATGTGGTTTTAATTTGCATTTCTCTGATGACTAGTGATGTGGAGCATCTTTTCATGTGTCTGTTGGCCATCTGAATTTCTTCTT